GTGGTAGATGACAACGTAGATCCAGAACTGACATTGTTGCAGTATTTGAGAAATAAATGTATCCTTATAAAATTGTTCTATTCTAAATTCAAAATTACCTAAATAACACTTTTTATTTAAGTTTTTATATTTTTTATAATTTTCCTTAATTTCCAACACAGTAAGATTATGTGGCACCAAGCTTGGATGTGGAGAAGGAGGATGTGGAGCTTGCACTGTTATGGTTTCAAAATTTGACAGAACGAAGAAACAAGTCATGTATCCTTTTTCATTTATATTGTATAATGCTATATTTCGATTTAATATAAATTTATTTCTTAAATTTTTTAATTTTCTTAAATTTCTTGATTTTTAAATGTATTGCTTTTTTATTTTTTAGTTTGTTAAAATATTTACTTAACGAATTCTTAGACATATTCCAGTTAATGCTTGTTTAGCACCAGTATGTGCCATGCACGGCCTAGCAGTGACAACAATAGAAGGCATTGGCTCCACCAAAACAAAACTCCACCCTGTACAAGAACGTATCGCTAAATCGCACGGTTCTCAATGTGGATTTTGCACCCCAGGAATAGTTATGTCAATGTACACCCTCCTGAGGAACTCGCCAAAACCGTCTATGAAAGACATGGAGGTAGCTTTTCAAGGAAACCTTTGCAGATGCACCGGTTACAGACCAATCATAGAAGCATACAAAACTTTTACAGAAGAATGGGAGTTGATACAAAACGGAAATAAGCTATCAAATACAAACGGAGGATGTGGCATGGGCGCCAAATGCTGCAAGCTCCAAAATGGAATCAAAAGTAAACAATCAGAAGATGAGAAACAAACATTAGTCCATCCTTGTCAATTTACACCCCACGATGCAACTCAAGAACCAATATTCCCACCAGAATTAAAACTAACTGATAAGTACGATAATCAAAACTTAATTTTTGAAAGCAAAAATATCACTTGGTACCGACCCACGAGTTTAAATGATCTACTAGATTTAAAACATAAATATCCCGAAGCTAAAATTGTTGTAGGAAATACAGAAGTTGGCGTAGAAACAAAATTCAAACAAATGATTTACCCTGTAATTATCCAACCGGTTCAAATACCAGAACTTACGATGATCGAAGAGACTACTAAAGGGGTTCGAGTAGGAGCGTCAGCTACATTGATAGACATAGAAGATTATCTGAAGAAACAAATCAGAGATAAACCGTGTTATCAAACCAAGATATTTAAAGCTATAGTGAAAATGATGAATTGGTTTGCTGGGAAGCAAATTCGTAGTGTAGGAGCTCTAGGCAGTAATGTAATGACTGGTAGTCCCATTTCCGATATGATACCAATTCTGATGGCAGCCAAATCAACTTTGGAACTTTCCAGCAAAACCGGTAAACGAATAGTTCCTCTCGACAACAATTTCTTCGTAGGTTATAGAAAAAGTATTGTTAAACCTGAAGAGATCCTTTTAGCAATACACATACCTTTTTCTCAACATTTTCAGTATTTCGTAGCTTACAAACAAGCTAGAAGGAGAGAAGATGATATCGCTATTGTTAACGAAGCGGTTAATGTCAGTTTTCTACCTAAGACTAATATTATTGAACAAATTAGTTTTGGTATAGGTGGGATGTCATTCAAAACAGTATCAGCTCCTAATACTGAGGCCAAACTAAAGGGTTTACCTTGGAATAGAAGCACACTAGAAATAGCTTTTAATTCTTTATTAGAAGATTTGCCATTAGATCCAGGTGCTCCAGGGGGAATGATCCTTTACAGAAGATCACTACCTCTCAGTTTATTTTTTAAAGCGTTTCTTACGATATCTCGCGAATTACAAAAGTATATTCCCGATATCGAGTTGGACGAACGAGAATTAAGTGGTATTAACGAGTATTCGAGTCAAGAATACAAAAGTTCCCAGTATTTTAATGTAGCACCAGAAATGCAAGATAAAACCGATTCTGTACAAAGACCTCTAGTACACATGTCGGCCTATAAACAAGCCGCAGGCGAAGCAATATATTGCGATGATATACCCAAATTTGAAGGAGAACTACATGCAGCCTTTGTCTTAAGCACAAAAGCACATGCAAAGATTCTTAATATAGACGAATCAGAAGCTTTAGCTGTAGACGGAGTGCATGCTTACGTATCTTCATCGGATGTACCCACAAACGTGAAGTGGGGAACGGCAGTCCACGACGAAGAACCATTCTACACAAAAGAAGTAACCGCCGTTGCTCAAATAATAGGATTAATAGTCGCCGATACTCATGCAATAGCTCAAAAGGCTGCCAAAAAAGTAAAAGTAACTTACGAAGAACTCGATGTAATAGTCACTATTGAAGATGCGATTAAATATAGGTCTTTCTTCCCGATGCAGCGGAAAATGGTCAAAGGAGATGTGGAGAATGTTTTCAAAGAAGCCAAGCATGTAATCGAAGGGGAATGTCGAATTGGAGGACAAGAACATTTCTATTTCGAAACACAATCCTGTGTAGTTGTTCCTAAGGGCGAAGATGATGAAATGGAAATATTTGCTTCTACCCAGAATCCCTCTGAACTCTCAGTAAGTTTTTTTTTAAATAAATACCCCAAGTGAAGCATTTTTGATTATTATAATCTAATTAATAAGACCAATAGCCATTTTATTCTAACCTTGGGATTAAAAACTAAGGTTCACTCACTAGGGTGCCTAATTATTTAGTTACACCACCGTTAACGTTTAACACTAAATCATACTATACTGTGCCTTTAGCTAACTTCACTAAACCAACTCAGAAGTTTTGGTTGTTTTTAGTTTTCTTATATTGGCGTTACTGAGGATCTGGATAACCACAACATTTCTATATTGAAGTAGTCGTTGTTCGTGACTACTAGCAAATATATTAGCCAATAATACATGTACATATCCCATCAGTAGGTAATTGATCGATAGCCGTTTCATTATTAGAAATACAAATACATTTTTAGTATAAAAGTTGTTGGACGATATAAAACAATTTTAATAGATTTTTGTTATCTTGTATATAGGGTGTGTCAAAATGAGGTGTAACGATTTTCAAACAATAATGCACATGCACAATACGCGTTTAAAAGTAAGCAGGGTTGGCTTCAAAATTTTTAAACTGTACATGTTAGATAAAATAATGTTAAATAAATTAATTTTATAAATCAAAAATATTAAAAATAAGAGAATGTGAGTTAGGGGGTTGACTTCGAACTTAGTCAGTGATAGAAAGTAGTATATTTATTATGTTAGGATCTTGTAATGGTAGTTATTACATAAAGTGGAGAAAATACGAAACCAACCATAGGGGAGTTTCATATGCTTTATATTAATGTTACAAGTTATTATAAGAGAGTTGCACAATATATTTTATCCACAACGTTATTTACAATCAAACATTAATAGAATTATGTCCTTTTTCACTCTATAAAATAAATGTCAGATTATCCTGTTGTCAAGTTCTGCTTCTACTTGCCAATTTAATTATTGCATAACGAATATCTGTATAATATTGAAAATCTGGATATCATATAGGGTTATGTCGTTCATCCTACTGGTGTAGGAATGAACTACACAAACGGACCCAATACCTTTCGTTCGGAATACCCTATATGTTATACCATTAATTAATTAATATAGTGTATTACATTTAAAAATTTGAGAAAATCGTAACCTCACGTTTTGACACACCCTATATACAACATAGCAAATAAATGAAGTCAATTAAAATAATTGACGATATGAAAACAATAAAATATGTATAATTACCTGCAGGGTGTTCTGCTTTAAAAAGTATAGATATAGTCAGCACCTCGTTTATGGACCACCCCATATATTTAGGAATAATTGTTAAATATGGTCATACAACTTTTACACTAAAAATGTCTTTGTATTTCTAATAATAAAACGGTTATCAATCAATTACGCACTGATGGTACATGTGTAATTAGCTAACATATTGGTATAGACAAATTTATAAGGAATTTTATGCTAAAATAATATACAGGGTGTTGCATTGAAAAAATTAAAATTAGCTATATTTTAAAGACATGTTTCAAAAGACTCTGTATAATATAAACCAGTTCTATCACTACTAGTCGTTAACTTAGTATCTTATGTCTGTATATTAAACCATTTTGAAATCAATTTAAACATACTTAAATTATAATAATGTAATTTGGGGTCTGCTTCATTCTCTAATTAAAAAAAAATGAATTGCTTGGCAAAACTCTAATATTTTTAAAAACAATTTAAGGTTGAATATTACCAAACCATTCTAAAAATAAAATAAAATACAAGGTGTTCTATTTAAAAAACATACATGTTTATTTACCATGCAAAACCGCAATATCCTATATATCCAATTTTTTTTTAAATATATATTTTTCAAGTCCATATAATTCTTATTTGAAACTTGTTTACGTGTCTATAACACAAATTAAAATATTAAACAATTAAGCACTAATGGGACATCCGGTATTATTAAAATTATATATTTCATATTTTTATGTAGTTAGCTGTTGTTAGTTGTCAATAAAAAAATATATACATTGATTGAAAATTGCGAAACTTCAAAAGAAATTATAAACAAATTGGATTCCATATACCAGCAAAAATCTGAAACTAACATGAAACATTTTACCAATATAAAATGGATCTTAGTGACTTTGTGGCACAACATATTGCGAAGGTTGAAAATTTGGCAAAAGAGATACGAGATGCTGGTGAAACAGTAAGTAATGCCGCTATAATGACAAAAATATTAAGCACCTTGCCATTGAAATACAGAAATCTCAGACAAGCGTGGTTATCTTTATCAGCAGAAAAACAAACAATTACAAATCTCACAGCACGACTTTTAGATGAAGAAGCAAGTCTTACTTTGTATGAAAAATCAGATACTGCTCTCGCAACATCTTTTTACTCATCTTTTAACAAGACTAAAGATATTTATACTCCTAGAGTAACAAATCAAATCTTTTTTGCTATTATTGCCAAAAGAAGGGTAGTACGTGAGTGTCATAAAAAATTAAATAAATAAAACAGCAATACTTCTGAAACAACCAATGACGAGAATAACCAAAATTCTCCTTCAACCAGTAGACTGCATTCCATGTAGAAGAAGAAACTTGTTGTAACCAAGCTTACTGCGATGAAGATAATATGGATTATGGATAGTGGGGCCTCAACACACATGACTCACAAAAGAGAGTATTTGTCAGATTTTGAAGAGGTCGAAAATGCAAGTCCAGTAGTACTTGGTAATAACCAAAACCTAATTGTTAGAGGAAAAGGGATTGTAAGAATTGAGAAGCTTATGCAAGGACATTTGCATGACTCCATAATTACTAGTGTTCTATATATCCATGATTTAAAGAGACATTTATTTGCTGAAGGTGTCTTAACTAAGAAAAGGATGAAAATAGTGAAGCAAGGAGACATTGCCACAGTGTATCAAAACAACCACCTTGTAGCATATGCAGAGCGCGGACTTAATAATTTGTACCGGATGATGTTTCATACTATCGTGTCTCAGGTCAACTTCACTTTAGAAAACAATCTTAAAGTATGGCATGAGAGACTGGGGCACATTAATATTCAAACATTGAAAGAATTTACTTCAAAAGAAATAATAACCGGTATCAAACTAACAGATTCTAATAATTTTTTCTGTGAAGGATGCAACTACGGCAAACAGCACAGAATACCCTTTAAAAAAGGTTCACATCCAAGGCTAAAACCAGGAGAAAGAATATATAGTGATTTATGCGGTTCAATGGCAACTTGTTCAATACGAGGCGCAAAATATTTTGCTACATATAAAGACGATTTTTCTGGATTTCGTGTAACATACTTTATCAACCACAAAACGGATATCGTTGAATGTTTTAAAACTAATTTTAACCTGACTAAAAATAAATTTGGACACTTAGTGAAACTTTTGCACGTAGATAACGAAATTGAATATATCAACCAACTTTTCTCACAATACCTAAATGAAAAAGATATTGAGTTATAACGAACAGCCCCATACACTCCCCAACAGAATGGCAAGATTGAACGCGACAACCAAACTGCTGCTGCTGGTGTTCCGAAATACCAGTGGACAGAAGCCGTCAATACAGCTGTGTACATACTTAATCGTTCACAAATTCATTCAGCAAATCATATTACTCCATAGGAACTGTGGACTGGTAAAAAACCTGAACTCTCTTGCACTAAAGTTTTTGGCTGTGAAGTATTTGTTCATGTTCCAGATCAAAAACGGAACAAACTTGAACTTAAAAGTCAAAAATTAGTATTTGTAGGTTATGATGGTTTGTTAAATAATTTTAGATTATTTGATCTTGTCAAAAAGAAAATTACTGCCCAGAAATGTCGTATTTAATGAAAATGTCAAAGGATTCACTGAGAAACCGAATCTAATACCTATATCTATAGACTATGAAGATGTAACAGTATTTCCCACAGATAAAGTGGAAGTTGCAGAAATTGAATCTCTACAAAAAGTGAATCGTGAAACAAGCCGTCCAAAACGAAGTAGAAGAACTCCAGAACGATTTAATGATTTTTAACTTAATTATGTTGAAGTGGATGTACCAATTACTTACGAAGAGGCCATACAAAGTAAGGAGTCCAATTTTTGGCAAGAAGCAATAAAGGAAGAATTAGACGCTCTTAATAAGAAAAACACCTTGGATATAACAACCTTGCCAAATGAGAAAAAAGAAATTGACCCTAAATGGGTGTTTAAAGTTACACCTAATGCTGATGATAGTATTTCAAGGTACAAAACCAGATTATGTGCTAAAGGTTGTGCACAAATAGATGGTGTTGATTACAATGAATTTTACTAACCTACTACCAGATATGACTCTATACGAATCTTATTATCAATTTCCGCAACGAACCAATATAAAATGATACAATTTAAGACTACATTCTTATATGGTGAACTAGACGAAGAAATTTACACGAAGTGTCCAAAAGGTATAAATACATTGTCAAATCAAGTATGTAGACTAAACAAATCTTTACACGGGTTAAAAAAATTCCCACGTTGTTGGAATAGAAAATTCAGTGTTTTCCTAAAAACGTTCGGCTTTCTCCTAAGCAACGGAGATAAATGTGTTTATGTAACTAAAAGAAACAACAAAAGATAATGGACTTTTATTTTCAAAGAGTACCAACGCTATGCATACTGTTTTAGAAGAAATGAAGAAAACATTTGAAATTACCGTTAGTGAGGCTGGATACTATGTTGGAATAAATATTGTTCGCAATAAAGATGGTAGTATTTTCATTCACCAATCCAACTATATTAAGAAAATAATTGAACGATTTAATCTTGAAACAACTAATCCAGTGGCAATACTAGCAGATCCTAATGCTAACCTAACTATTTGTGATGACTCATTTCCATTAGAGGAAGTTCCTAATCGGATAGCGGTAAGCCGTTTGATGTTTACTGCAGTCGTAAGTCGTCCTGATATCATGTATGCAGTGGGAGTTGTTAGTAGATCGTTACCAACTATAGCAGAATACATTGGAATGCAATA